CTCTCTCTCTCTCTCTCTCTCTCTCTCTCTCTCTCTCTCTCTCTCTCACACACACACACACACACACTTTAAGGTTATGGGTACACAAGAACACCTTTTAACCAACTGACTTTTACACTAATCAAATCAATTCATCTTGACTGACGTGTACCAGCTGACTCACTTCCAGGTCCTGCCTTGGTCCCTGGGCAAAAATGTTTCACCACAACACATGAAGGGTACATGGTACAAAAACACAGCAGCAAAACAGAGAATGAGACAGAGGGGAGAAGCGGGAAAAGACAGGAGAAGTGTAGTAATGTATTAAACAATTTCCTTTCAAAATTGTACAACACCTTTACAAAAAGGCACACCTCGTTGAGGAACTTGTGGTATTGTGCAGTATGGATTCACGGTTTGATATCAAACTGTCTGCTGTCTTGAGCCTCAGTGAAAACACTATTTTATTTATTTTTTTACCTGACAAGTTCATTTTTCCTGGAAAGTCCTTTCAGATAACTCTTGCGTGCGTAGAAGTTATGAACATTCTTCCTTGCAAAGAATCCTCTCCATCTCCGCTGTATCTGTGAGGGATTAAAGCACGACAGAGGCATTCTTCAGGGGCCTCATTTATAAAACAGGGGAAGGATCCCCACTAAATGTTTGCATACGTTCAAAGGAGGAAATGCACATACGCCAAAACATATTCAGATTTCTACACACCCACATTCAACCATAAATGGTCAATGCAAAGCACCTTGTGAATGTTGATGCATAGAAATGAGCCTGCTGATCAATGGGTCTACAACTTCTTCCATTCACGCACTCATCTATCGTGCCACATAACACATCACGAGCGTCTCCGTAGCATTTATGTTTACAGCAGTCAGACTGATTGCTTCCAAAATGATCGAGACAATCAGTGGTATCCAAACTCACAAACACTGAATGGAAACTAAGATCGTACTTGGTGATATATGCACAGTATTATTGAAAACTAATGACGCTCTGTTCAGCAGTTCTTTGACACTAGTTGATGTTATCGTATCGATGATGCTCCACAGCTGACCACGAGTGTCGGTAGTCCGGCCCTCTCTTCTGCGCTGAGGAGAGCAGACAGCGCTGACAAAATATTAAGCGAAATTTGATTTGGGGTTTGAGTTGGTTTATATCTTTTATAATTGAAATGTGCTTACAGTTATGTACACTAGTACAAGCACAAAGAACACTGCTGGTTTGACTGTAAACGATAAAGAAAATATATAAGTGCAAAGTAACGTGTGATATGAAATGAAATTAAATGTTTAATTTCTAAAGTCTGGCTTCAATTCACCACCTCATCATCTGCATCGCCAATTTCCTGTGTCTCCAAAATGTTCGTACGCATTGGGTCAGAGTTTCCGTACGGGTCAAGTGTGTTGTTATAGATCACAACGTTTGCGTGGGAAGTGGCGTACGCCTCTTTCAGGCCCCGTTTTGTACGCACGCAACTGTTATAAATGAGTCGCCAGATGTTTTCCAACAACATGGGATATGGGAGATCTGGCCACTTTGATACTTAATTATTAAAAAATGTGAAAGAAATAATTTGTAAGCATCAAGGTAAGGCATGGTAAAGTATGGCATGTTTCGTCATAGCTTAGATACATTTTTTATGGTCTTCATTTTTCAGATTTCTTTTCTCTTCCAACACACGATGTTATGTGTCTTTGTATGTGACATCTAAACCTTTAACCATGCATGCGGTTTTTTTTTCCTCTGCAGTGATGGAGGGACAATCCGAGGGGGGACAGACAGCTGTCGCAGCTCCATATGTTTAACTGTATCCGTCCACATTGATTGGGGAGGCTGTAGATTAGCTATCACACACACACCCACACACACCCACACACACCAGTGGACCGTTTTAAAGCAAGGGGGCGGATGTCCTTCAAACTAATTAGGAGATTAAAACAATGGCAGGTAAAAGAGTAATCACACTATGAGAAGAGGGAAGAGGAGAGAAGAGGTGGAGTGGAGGATGGGGGAAAACAACAAAGAACAAAATGAGAATTAGCATTGATCTGCCAGTCAATAGATAATTTTAAATAAAGTAATTGCCGCCTCCCGAGTTCTTGCTGACCTTTGTTGACTAGTGAAATCGATGCTGTTGAATCTAATACAAATCCGAGGTGCGGCATGTAAACACTGGTTTCTATTACGGCCCTAATACATTATCCTCTGTTAGCTACCATGCCGTGATAAAGACAACAGAACGGGAGAGGAAAAAAGAGAAGAATCAAAATTGATTCAAAGGAAGTGTCACAGGGGGATTGTGAGATGATTGTTTCTCCATCCCTCTTTCTCTTAGACATTGAATATTTATTTGGCAACGATGGTCTGAGAGTAGAGATGTCCTTCACTCATGGTATACTAAGTTAGTAGTAAAAACTTATTCTTTCATCTTTCAACAGGTGGCATCATAATAAAGGACAGGTTCAGGCTTACCTTTGTATTATTCAAAACTATTTCTAACCCTCTGAAGTACTATGTTGCACATTACCCATGACATATATCTTGGAGTACACAGGGACCAAGTGTTCCAATACCGACATGTATGTCTTTTGTGGTGGGAGAAAATTGGAGCACCCCCACAAAACCCAGACAGATTCACACCATGTAATGCACACTCTGCACAGAAAGGCCTCATTTGGCCCTTAAGGGGTTCAAACCCAGTACCTTCTTGAATTGCTAACCACTGAGCCACTTTTCTGCCCTGTTCATTCATATTTCATTTCCCATTAAAATTCCTATTGCTTCCTTGAGGAAACTGTGGTTATTTTATATGTAATAAAGACCTTGATGAAACTTGTATGAAAATACCGCAACCATTTCTGTCCATCTGGACAGTAACACACCCTCTTTGATAAACACTAGTTCATTTTTTGTTGGCCTATTAAGCTTTTAATGGTTTAGCCAGAATGAAACTGTTAGCCAAAAGAGTCGACTATATGGAATTGTAAAAATCTAAGGTTTCTGTGCAATATCCGTGTGTAAAAGTGCCAAAGCATCAGTCACAGGCACAGCGCTACGATTTATGAGTTGAACAGTAATGCCTGCTGAGGGGGAGAAACAAGGAAGAAATAAAAATAATGTGCAATGGTGTCAGTGAACGGACCAACTAAAGTCTAATGTGTTGAGACATAATCACAATAAATCATTTTAAAGTAATCTGAATTCTCTTATCTGTGTATTAAACCTGATTATAATTAGCCTAAATGATGTATAAAACTAAATTGTACAGTATTGTCACGTTAAAAAGTAATAAAAAAAGACCGCATGGAGGATTAAAGAAGTTGTATGATGAACAATGTTTGCAATGAAGTGGTGTGATGAAGTGCTTACAGGCATTCACGGGGCCTCCCATTCACAGCGCACACAAAGAAACAGAGTGACCCCCCCCCCCCCCACGACACTCCATTTGCTAAAACAAGACACTGTGGTGATATTTACCCTGACCGCCATCTCCTCGTACAAATTCATCTTCATGATAAAATATGCCGCCTGTGAACACAAAGGAAAAGATGGCGTTACATCTTGTCTCCCAGCCCTCTGATCTGTCCACAGCAGGCGTCAAAGATAAAGAGCTCTTTATACATAATACATTGCACAGAGGCAGCACAGATAGGGCCACTGTAGAGGGGAGGGAGGAGGGAAGGGGGCAGAAAAGGAGAGAAGGAAAGCAAGAGGGACAGGAGTAAAAAGAGGAGAAGTTGGGGGGGATGTAGAGAGAGAAAGAGAGAGGGAGGGAGAGAAAGTGGTTAGCGGGACTTTGTATCAAGGGGAGGACAGTATTCTCTTAATACACCAGAGCAGACGAGGGCCAAGAAAATCTATGGTAGTCAAGCAGCGAGCTAATGGAGATGTATGACGGCCAAACGCTCTCCTCTGGATTTCATAATCAATGACAGCACTGCCAGAAGTGACAAACAAAAGGCCGGAGAATATTCAGCGGCGCACTCAACGAGGCGTCGCGCACCAAACGTGTCGGGCCGACCACTGGGGGCACATTTCAGGAGCAAACTGGAGAGTCGGCCATAAAAGGGATTCATATCTCGACACGTCTTTTTTTTAATAATGACAGGGAAGAAAGGGAGGAGAGGAAGGGGAAGGAAGACAAAGACTTGAAAGGAGGTTGTAAATTCAGCTTGATGTTTTGAGATGAGGCTTTGTGCACGTCACATCACACATGACAAGGTCCGCAAGAGTGAGAGAGGAAGAAGACAGACAGACAGACAGACAGACAGACAGACAGACAGACAGAGAGAGAGAGAGAGAGAAAGAATAGAATCTCTATGGGCTAATTCAAAATAGTGCACTGTGGCAATTTTGAGTGATTCAAATTAGTGCTCGTCTGTTTCCAAATGAGACCAAACAGCCTCTTTTTAGCCCATGTGTGTGTTGTGACACATCCTTCATTGTTTATTTCAACACCCCTCAATCCCCCCCCCCCCTTTCCATTTCTTGAACGCCTCCCAAACGGCGGCTGGCAGTTATGCTTTAGCAAACAGTCAATTTACAAGCATGATAAATAGCTTGTTGTGATACGTTTACAAAACTCAATCCAGGGGAAAATTATACGTGAGAGAGCTGGGTATTGGATCCGGTATCAACAATCTGTTCAATTAAGAAGCAGTTGGAGGCAATATGTTGAAAATGGGGCCTTGTTTTACTAAAAGCACACACATACACACACAAACTCCTCTACTCGTTCCTTCTCTCTTCCTCTCCACGCATTTTCTATATACATCCGAGGAGCTGCGATATAGATGGAATTCCTTATCATATTGCATCATATTTCCTAAGTGCTAATTTCCCAATGTGTAATGAGTGAATTATATTTCTTAAGGTCAGACGCAGAGACTTAGGAATATAGCAATTGAATTCTAATGCACGCTATCATAACATAATCAATATATCTATAGCCATTCCAGGCACTGGCTTACCTTCACCATTTGTCTGAAACGTGCCCTTGCTGTGAAGCCCCGCCATATCTTCTGTATAATGATTGCCTTCTTGTGCAGATGGCTGTAAAAAAAAGTCAATTTAGGGAGATGATTGGACATGTATAGTTTAGTAGTTGAAATGAAGGAAACACTGAAAAAAGTTATTCAGATGCACATGGAAGGGAAATTAAATTCTGGATTTTCTTTGTTTGATCTGTGCTCAGAAATGACATATTGGAGTCCAAAAGACAATCTTTTAAATCTTCTAGATATATGATAGAGCTGTAAGAAAAATACACTAAAAGCTGAAAGAGTTCCATTGCTGTATATAATGCAATTTCATTAATAAAAATCACAAAATTCCCCTAAATGTCTACTGCTTTAATAAACCCAAAGCTAACTCCAGTTTAAAGTAGATATTTTTTCCCCCCTGAAATACAATAAAGAAAAGTGTGCTTTTGTTTTCTGCATACAAATGTTAGGTTGTAAAATGACTTAAATTAAAAGGTCAGGGCAACATTGTGCTTACAAACACATGCTCTCAAAAAGACAAACACACACAGAACATTTCTGCTCCTCCAGGCTTTTCAATCATGTCCGATGGGCCTTTCACCCCCTTTAGTCGGCGGCACACATTTGTATTCATCTTCAAACATACTCTAAATGCAAGTCCACTGCGATTCTCTGCCTCCAACGAGGCCATCAATTTCCAAAAGGCCATTCATATGCCCAGAAAATCAATGCTTATAGTGGGGATAGCACAACCCCAGAGTTGCACTTAGGCAGCTAAAATTGTTGCTAATTATCCACTTAACGCATTGATCAATTAACTAAAGTAATCTGAATTAACCTACTGTCTGGAAGTTTGTCTGCTGACCCTGCAGAATGGTGCTGGGGTCACAGAATAAGAACAAGCACAGACATAGGGACATTCATTTCTCTGTGTGTGAAAGGGCCACAGAGAGCAAGTGACATTTATTCCTCTGGGCCATTTGCAAGGCTCTAGAAGTGGGATAATTATGAGAGTGAGCTAGTATCAGGGTTTCCCTTCAAATTAACTCTTAAGAGCCCTGCCTGAATGTTTTTCAACCCTGAGGGGGGAAAGCAAACCTCAAATTGGTACATCAAATATTAAGGCTTGTACTATTTTTGCCTATGGCATTTGAAGGAGTAGGCCTACCAGAAATATATGGTTTGCAGATTCAAACTGTAAAGCAGATATTCATTCACCACACATAGGTTGTACACATCATACCTGAGGTAAGCCTGCACCTTGCGGGCTCTGAACCAGCTCTGGATCCGGGTGGCGGCCTGGTTTTCCCTTTGTCTGTTCTCCTCAGCTTGCCTATAGGCACACAGTTACATAATAATATGTTTTTGTAGCTACAGTATCTTACATCATTTCTGATTAACGCCCTTTAATATGCCATACAGACAATATCTGCACTTGCAAGTTACTTAGCCAGACTTTGCTGTTGCCCTCTTGCTCTGCAACAGCGGTCAAGGTAGCAGACACTCCGATCTCTGTGGTCAACTCAGCAGACACTTACATTTGAGTGCGCCTATATGCTGAAATTCACGGTAAACGCATTCAAACGGCACAGATCGGCAGCGAGCGATGGACTTTGCAAAGTTAGCGTGGGACAACATCCGGTTTTCAGAGTAAGATGTCACCTAAATGTGAAAGATTAACGTGAGACAACATCCGGTTTCCAAAATAAGATGTCAACTAAGCGTATAGTGCTCTGCAGGTGCTTCGTTATGGCCCCACTGCCGATGATGCAATTCACAATATAATTATCAAACCTAAAGTATTGGCTAAAGTGGCGTCTTTGCTAAAACATGACAGAAATGTCTGTTGTCTCCGTTGTTGGAACAAGCTACGTTTGCTGGTTGGTAACGTCATTGCGTTAAATATATGATAGCTAACGCTTAACCGAGTACTAACGTCACACGCTAGCTAGCAATACTCATGTACATATGAAACACACCTGTTTTTGCAGAAGTATTCCTTTTTGAACTCCTCAACTTCACTCTGTATTTTCAGCAGCTCCGCCATGTTTTCACAGGCTACAGTTTACTTGTTGTCTTGACAACACAGCAGGTTGGAGATGCGTTCAAAGCATCTAGAGAGTAGGAATTTTCTTCAAAACAATTTAATAATGCTTACTTCACTGACCCTGTCGTAACAAAGACACTTTTAAAAGTATCTGCTGTCTGTTGATGTAAGTGTCACTATGTGTCGAGATTGTGAGGTTAAAGGCATTTATTTTATGCAGCAAGTCAGGATAGAAACCTGAGGTGCAAAATCAACCTTTCATGGTTTGTTTAACCAATGTTTTAATTTGTATATCCTCCTGAAACGCAGACTATTTACAGTGACTAACATTTTTATCCATTTTCATGCGATTAAAAAATTATATTAACAGATATTCCTAAGTATTGGGTCAGCATACTGTATATTGTAATATTTTTCATGGACAGAAAATATTTATAGAAAAAAGCCTTTACCTTTTGCCAGTGTCCATAATAGAGGGGGGGGGCGGCGTTTAAAAAAAGCCTGCTCTGTGGATGCAGATTGTGGATCTGAGTATTGATTTGTCAGCTGCTTTACTTCTTCTATCCATCCCTCCATCCATTTCCCTCTTCCTGACATTATCACCCTTCATCATACAGTTATCAGTTCATTTCACCCTAGTCTTCCTTCCTTATTCTCCTCCTCGTCACTCCTTCATTCGTCTTCAGACATATTCACCTGTCAAAATGATCACCTCAGCAGAGTTTGTGTGTGTCCTTGTGTGCGCACTTGTGTATTTGTGCAAGGAAAGACATCTGTCTGGCCAATGGTCAGAGGAAAAGACTGTCTGTATTATAAATTACTCCTTAGAGACAGGTACGACAAATGGTAAAAGTGAATGAACGTGTGTGTATCTGTCTCCATGCTCTTTCATGTCTGTGTACCGGCATTCCTGCCTCCCTATGAGCCAGGCAGTGGGCTTGTTTAAGTCTGTGTTTTCTCTGTCTTTCTCACAGGCCAATTTGCTGTCTGAGGGCCACCACGGCAAAGAGCAGTAGGCAGATGTCCTAGGTAGAGTTATAGCTGGAGGGGCGAACCCATGGTGGCTTCGCCCATCCATCGTGGGGCGGCAGGAGGGCGTCCACCCTGGTAATTACCGGAGAAATGTTGTTGTGACAAGATGGTATGAACAGCGTATATGTGAGTGTGAGAGACAGAGATTTTTAGGGAGGTGTTTTTGACAAGACTGTAAGGACGGCTGGAAGCCATTCGTCCTGCCACAACACTGATTAGGTGTCACCAGGAGTGTATCTGTGAGAGAACGACACGAAAAGGCAAGAGAGAGCACTTCATAAAAAGACATCGTGTTTACACAGTGTCTAATGACCCACTTCCCGACCCAGCCAGACCATCATACTCTCCATGTCCCTCCACTCTTGTATTACACACTTCATCAAGTTCCTCCCCTTTTGTCTCTATTCTTCTTTACTTGTACCTGCTCCCTCCACTTTCCTGCTTCCTTTATTTTCTTTACCAATCCGCTCTGCCTTCTCAATCAAAACCTTTTTGTTGCACAGAGAGGCAATAATTCCTTACCCAGGATTACCCATAGATACCCGCTCTCTCCCTCTCTTTCTCTCTCGCTCCATCTCTCCATACGGGGCATGTCATTTAACATGCCTCCAGTCACCTCTCACAGTCAGGAAGCTCATCCAACCAGTCATTCTCCATGCCCATTGTTCCTAAATGAGGGCCATATGCGCTGCGGCCAGCTCTGGTCATAAAGACACACACACACGCCAGGGGTGATACCAGTGTCTATGGGAGAATGTGTGTGTATGTGAGAATGTCACACATTGCTCTGCACAGCGCGTGTGTATGAATCATTATTGTGTGTGACAGTATATGAGTGATTATATGTGAGTTTCTGTGTATGTGGGCCTGTCTGTGTGTGCGTGTGTGTTCCTACAGCCACAGTGGGGTGCGGCGGATGGAATGTGTGTTTCTCGGCAGGACCAGTTCGGCCATTATTATTAAACATCTGTCCGCAGCACATTAATTCCCCCACTCTGACGCATCCCTCTCTGCCCAGGGATCACTTAATTGAAATCCATAATGACTCTTTCTTCCCTTCTCTCCCACACTGAGCAAAGTGAAGCTGGAAAATATATTTCAGTCAAAAAAGGAAGTTTATATCAGCTATTATCGTGTTTTACTGCCACCACGTTTAAGGTAACACACAACACCTTGGTTTTCTGTAAAACAAGGAAGGATGGTGACTGTATTCCCTAAAATGTTTCACAAATAAACCAAGTTAATGTGTGGAAATGTGTGGGTGTTGTTGGCCTATTAGTCCCTATACAGTTTATGATATTAAATAGAATATAACAAAACAAAGCAAAGATTAGTGATTAATTTCATAGTTGACTAAAGATAAACATTTTCTTTGAGAATCAATTAGATTAATGCCGAGCACAAACTGACATGTTGAGCTCAGATAGATGATTGTATGATGGATGATTGTAAGTTACTTTTGGCACAGAGCATCAGCCAACAAGGCTAACGCGAGGGCACGGCTGCCTGCTTTGCAAAGCATATTTTATCATCTTTAAATTTTACTTTATTTTGCACTAGTGGCACCTGGTGCAACATTAATTAATGTTCTGCTCTACATGATCCCAAATCAAGAAAGATCCAAACATTGAAAGGGCTGTATATGCCTTCCTTTCATCTTTGAGTCTTTTCCCATCCACTGGCTCTCAGTTAATGTCGAAACAGTTTGTCAGTTTAGTGCCACTTCAACTTTCTATTCCAAAACCTAAATGTTTAAATTTTACTGCGTCTGTGGATAGTGCTGTCATTATGTTAATTTAATGTTCATTAATAAATACAAAAAAATACTTTTTCTGTTCCATGCTCTCTTTTGATTCACAAATTCTCAAAAGGACAGTTTTTAGGAAGGACACTGTGAGATACCCAAAGCCCAAAGTTAACTCCAGCTAAAAGCAACATATGTGACTCATTAGATAAAATAGAGTCAGAATAATGTTCATTTTAAACTTTAAGACAAGGTCGAATACAAAAGAGAGTAGCACAATGTTTGGTTCTCCAAAATAAGTTTAGTGTTTAATAAGGTAATGCAGTTTTAATCAGTTTTATAGAATCTTCTTGATAGGTTGATTCATGGTATTTTCACCTTAGGCATTATTTTCCCGTTCCATTAAAATTCCCCATCACATGCACAGAGCCAACTCCAAAAAGTGATTAAAACACTTCCAGTTTGAGCTGATGTCATCTGTGTTACACTAAATTGTTATTGAAAATATAGAGGAGGCCCTCAAACCAGAAGCTCACTTATAGGCCTCAAAAAGGCCAAACGTTGGCCCTGGTCTTCTGAGCAAAACTATGCAAATTGCTCCTTAATATTTTCTACCTGGGGCTGCTGTTACTTTTTACAGTGGCAATGCTTTTAAACCAATTTGAAGCCATCTCTTTTCCCCCCTCTCCATCTCATCCCCCTCCCACCTTTCCTCATTCCCCATCCTAATATCCTACTAATGGATAAAAACTATGATTGTGCCGGTAGAGGAGAAATATCATACCTTTATTAGCTCACCTATACCCACAGAGAGAGAGGGAGAGAGAGAGAGAGAGAGGGAGAGAGAGAGTAAGTAATGAATTGAGCATTGTGTAAAATAGTTTAATGCAGGGGTGGTTCATCATTATTTGTGGCGGATTTTGTGCAGACAGGGGTGATCCATTAGTATGGTCGTTTCCATCTGTGTATGCAAGTCTCAGTGTGTGTATGCGTGTGTATCAGTGTGTGCGTGTGTGTGTGTGCGTGTGTGTGTTTGTCCCACCCAGAAGGACATTCGCTGCTGCCGGCCCCACTGTCACAATGAGAGATTCATCACCACACACACACACATACTCACACACACTGGCTACAGTACACATGTGGCATTATTGTTCCATCATTACTCATCTCATTCCTCTTTTCAACAATTTGTCATTTTCCTAGATTCATATGGCAGAATGTTCACTGTGTGGACGGTCAAGGCAAGAATTACAAACATTAGATTGGATTTGAAAAAATGTAATTGCAGCAATATCAAATTAGAAATCATGACATATTTACATTCCGATACTTTACTCCAGTTGTGTTGGGTAAGAAAATGATTTAAAGGTCTGATACAATTCTTCTGATAGTATTAAATTACTGCAAGGTGAGTCGGACTTATTAAAACAATGTTAAATTGAGGAAATTATCAAGAGTAACAGTGACTCTGAATTGGGTTTAAAGAAAATAATACAATAACTGTAGTTCAAATTCAAATTTTATCGAACAATGCAGTAAAATCTCTTCGTCCACTGTTTATTGCTTTAAAATTGTCCAATATTCTCTTCATGACAACAACGTCACTTTTTGCAGAATGCTTCACATCTTGTGTAAAGTCACACTGATGATATATTCTCCTGTGTTTTTGCACATTCTTCCCTTCAATTTCTATAAAAAAAATGAAGAAAATTGAAATACAGTGTATTCCAATGCCAGACAAACTACTCTTCTACAGTAAATGATGCGTCTGCATCAACATGATTGCAGGCGCAGCCTGCATCAGAAATAAAGTCTTAGACAATGTGGCTGCAAGACTTTCTCATAAGCTTTGTTAACAATACATTTTTTTTCCATTCTATTTATTACAATTATACAGAAAGGAGGGGAAACAGAACAGAACAGTCATCAAAGAGAAGAGGAAGAGAGTAAAGAGAAAGAGAAACACTTTTAGTGGCATGATTGCCACATCTGATGGCCATTTCTTCACCCCCGCACGTCCACACCCACAATCACATTCTCTTCTCAAAATAAAACCCTCAGTAGTTTAATGGAATTTAGATTTTTTTTCAATACTGGAGAGGGAAAATAAATCATCCAGTGCATACTCTGATCATGGCAGGGTGTAGACATGCAACTGAGGATTCTCTGTCTTCGCCCTCTCTGGAGCACTTTACCACTTACACTTCACTTGTTCTTTTCATCTGTCCCG